TATCGTAAAGTTGTATTCGGAAAGAATTTACGGAAAATTAACTAACGATTGGAGGCGTAACAGTATTCTATTAAAATATCAGGATTAAAACATGAAATTCAAATAGTTAAAAAAGAGATTTTGCTTAAATTGTTTTCCTAATTAGAATAAAATATATTTAATAATATAGTTTTAATGATAAAAAATGAAAATAATATAACTAGATTTAAAGTACTTGTAAGAGAATTATTGATTAAGTATAAAAATATTTAAAAAATTGAAGTAGAAAATTAATCATTAGTGTTTTTGATTTAAATATGATTAAATAAAATGCTAATAATTAATTTTATTAACTCACATGAAAATTAGATAATGAATTAATTAAGTTTTTAATTTAACTATGATTAATTCCATTTAAATTTAAAAAAATATTTAACGATATTAACCTATATGAAGTGAAAGTTCTTGAGTTAATTATAATTTCTTCTGTATTGTATTTGATTGGTATTATTCTTCTGTTTGTAATAAATATAGTACAGAATGTTTTAAACCTAGCATAATATCATAACTAAAGTGTTTTATATTTTATTAGTTTACAACTACCGAAGTGCTCACAGTTCATATCCACGGTTACCGTCGATGAGAATGAAGACGTTAGGTTGTAGATAGAAACACGACAACTGTAAGCAGCCATTAAGTCATGCCGCTGTAAGCTTGGGATTAGCAGTTCGTTAGTAACAGTTCCAGCTTTTATGATTTTGAATGTGTCGTCCAAAAGAACTGACTCTCTCCACCACGACACATTAGGTGAGGGAACTCCTGTTAGACAGTAAAGGAAATAATAAGAGTTATAACTCAACTTCTCTAAAAGATCAAAACTAAAATACCTTTAATGTAGAAAAATATAATATAGCTCTGTTTTACATCCTGTGGCTAATATTTAAAACTTAAACTTTAAACACTGTGGTTAAAATCCCTTAGGTAAAATATATAAGCTAACTATGTTATATATCCTGTGGCTAATATTTAAAACTTAATACTTTAAACACTGTGGTTAAAATCCCTTAGGTAAAATATATAAGCTAACTATGTTATATATATCCTGTGGTTAATATTTAAAACTTAATACTTTAAACACTGTGGTTAAAATCCCTTAGGTAAAATATATAAGCTATATATCCTGTGGTTAATATATCAGAATATAATATTTACTGTTTTCAGAAATGCCCTTAGAAATAGATACTAGAACTTCGGTCAGGCATTGAATTTAAATGACTAAACTTTTCTTAAATGTCACCATGACAACAATGCTAAATAAATATATACATAAACACTTAAAACTAATTACTGTACGAAACTGTTACTTGAAGGGAAAAACTGTTAAACCTCTTACTGAAACAGGTTCAAATCAAATCCAGGAAATATTAAATAATTCAATCTGTTAAGAGAACAAATAAAATCTTATTTCCAACATTTTCCTACTAATCCGGTAGATAACAATCAGTTAAAAGCCGATATAATTAATGTATATATAGTTTAAAAAAAACTAAATAAAGGTTTCTTGTACAAACAAACACAATGTATATATATAGATCTTTAAATAGACTAAGTAAAGGTTTGTGGTACAGACAAACACAATGTATATATAGTTTTAAACAGGTCAAGTAAAGGTTTGATGTACAGATAAACACAATGTATATATATAGTTTTAAACAGGTCAAGTAAAGGTTTGATGTACAGATAAACACAATGTGTATATAGTTTTAAACAGGTCAAGTAAAGGTTTAATGTACAGATAAACAGAATGTGTATATAGTTTTAAAAAGGTCAAGTAAAGGTGTGTTGTACAGATAAACAGAATGTGTATATAGTTTTAAACAGGTCAAGTAAAGGTTTGATGTACAGATAAACACAATGTATATATATATAGTTTTAAACAGGTCAAGTAAAGGTGTGTTGTACAGATAAACCGAATGTGTGTATATATAGTTAATAAACAGGCCAAGTAAAGGTTTGTTGTACATATAAACAGAATGTGTGTATATATAGTTAATAAACAGACCAAGTAAAGGTTTGTTGTACAAACACTATGCTGTTTTAAATGTTCAGGACAATCACCTCCTTCGACCTCACAAATGACTAATAACGAATCTCCTTCATTGTAAGGTCCTATCAGGCTTCTCAGGATTTTTCCGTTTTGGTCCCTAATTACAGGCTTCTTGGGAGGTTCTGAGAAAAAGAAACCACTTATAAATCACTAAATACCACTCATACCGTTAAAAGAAAAGTAATCTTTAAATCTGTGGACTTATTACGACGTGTAATAATTGTTATGTTGTGTAGGCCTTTTACAAGCTGGCGAAGAATGATTAAAATCATATTTGTCATAAGACATTAGTATTAAGCCTATTACATTTTTAAACACTACATTCATTAGGTAATCCCTTAAAGAATTAAAAGAGTGTATTATAATTATAGTATTCCAACCACGCTAAATTTGTCATATCCATTACCAAGACGCCAGCTTATAACCGGCGTTCACACGGCTAATATAAACGGTGTTCCGACCACTAGTGTGTTTGTTGTATCCCGATCCGCCTGAAGAGCTCTGGATTGAGCAAAACGCATCGTCGGCATTGGATATGACAAATATAGTGTGATTGGAATACTATTATTATACACTTTTATAATTCTTGAAATCCCTAATGGACTAGATTAAGAATGTAATGAGCCCAATAGTAATGTCCAGTATAGTTGTAAAATTGTAATATTGTTGGTAAATATTGTTTAATAACATTCCTTGCTATGCCAACAACGAACATTCACATTTTGTTAACATTTCATAACAAAACGTTTTGTATCGGGAATAAAGAAACGCGTTAGTGTGGTTGTTTTAACGCAAAGCTACACCATGGGCTATCTGTGCTCTGTTAACTTTGTGGAATCAAACTCCAGATTTTAGTGTCGTAAGTCCGAAAACTTACCGCTTATCTACCAGGAGACGTTTAGTGTGAGGATTTTAACCCGACTCTGTATATTAATGGCTATTTTAATACATTTTTAACACTCATGGTCGGTTTACTAGTAGCTTATACATTTTATAGTGTTAACGTGCCAAAAACAATCATTTTCATTGCTAGATATATCGAAAATAAAATTTCACTTTGTTGCTTCTTTTCAATCATTTTTGTGCGTTAACAAATTGGCACTTCTTACTTAAATAAAGGATCGGGCGGGACCCTAGTAATTAGCGCGCCCAACTACGAAACCGTGGATCTATTTATTATTCGCGTCCGGTGCCGCGAAAACGAATCGCGCATTACACATTGGGGACGTGAGTGGTAAGACTGACGGTGAAATTCCACGATCCGATGAAAGTAACACAAGAGTTGGCGGTGGGGGCTGTTGACTAGCTTGCGTAGTTAGCCCTTGTGTGTATTTGCCCCGAATGTCCGACACAAATTAAACATAAAAACGATGACACATTCTTCGGGTGATTTTCTCTGGCACTTCAATATGTCCGTGGTCTACCCCCAAGAGATTGACTCGAATATATATTAAGGAAGACAAACATCAGTTTGCTAGGACATAATCTTTAAATGTCTTGTTTCAGAGAATCAACTGCACCAATAGAACTGTAGTGACACAATTTGTAGTCAGGAATGATTTATCACGGTCCGAAAGGTAATATTGGACCTGCCAACACGGCTAGTGCTTATTTTGCCGTTTTAAATTTCGATTTTATTAAACTTGTCACTTATCATCAGTAATTTTTTTTAATTTTCTGCTCAACAGAGAATAAAATTATTTGTAAAAATCAAACGCAGGTAGTGGCACTACGAATCGCTTACACAGATCTAGGATAACTGTTCTTTCAGCGCAAAGCTACGCAATGGACTACATGCGCTCTGTCCACCGCCGGAATCGAACTCCGGATTTTAGTGTTGTCAGTCCGTAAAACGTACCGCTGATCCACCAGGAAACTACGTAAGTAGAATGAAATAAATATTGCATTTTTTGCCCCCAGGTGGCACAGCGGTAATGTCTGCGGACTTACAACGCTAGAATCCAGGTTTCGATACCCGTGGTGGACAGAGCACAGATAGTCCATCGTGTAGATTTGTGCTTAATTACAAACAAACAAACAAAAATGTTGCATTTTAAAGTTAGAAAAACTAGGTCTTTAAGGCAGTGAGAGGTAATTAGTTTGAGACTTACTAAAACTTTACATATCGTTTGTATCTAGTTTAATCTTTTTTTAATATATGTTACTTTACAGAAATACACATTTGTTAATTAACATGAGTGTTTCAAACTGAATTGGTGTTTTTATTCCCAAATTGCGTGGTTATGAAACAACCTCCCAGAGACCAACTGGTAATTAGTAATTTCTGTTTTCTTCTTCGATTGGTTCGGAAATTGATCACTGGCGATTAGAAACGCTTGGCTTCTTATATGACACGCACTTTATTTAAAAACAAATTATTATTTTACGTTCTTGAGTTAAAAAAAAAACTTCAACCACTGACCACTGACCAATAACCTTTAGGATACTGTCTGTGTAGCGAGTTCTGGCATGAATGAAATCCGCCCGACATCGATATGACCCTTGGTCATCGCTATTCAGTGAGCTGAACATCAGAAGAGCCGGTTTGGTATCTGTGACGAAGCGGACTCGACTAGTCATGAAGACAGATGAGTGTCGGGCTCGAACGAGAGATCGTCGTCTCGCGTCAAGAGTGTAGATTGGTTTAGTGATGTTGTCCTTGTACCAGAACACAAGAGTGGGGATGTCGTCCTTTTGAATACTTGTGATGTAACAAGGTAATTCTGCCTTCTCCTCTATCAGACCAATGACAATAACTGAAAACAAAGATTACGAAGTATAAAAAGTACTGGTAGTTATAAACAATTCTAAGAACGTTTAAGAACAACTATATTAGAATTTTTCTAACTAGGATTTGCCTTCAAGGGTCAACTGATGGGCACCATTCAATAATGTAAGCTTCTACAGAGAAAAGTAATGACCTATATGTTTCTTAAAGTTATTGTAACATATGTTGTTTCTTAAAATGACAGCTTTCTTGTAACTTGTGTTGTTTCTTAAAGTGGCAACTGTCTTGTGTTATTTCTTAAAGTGACAGCTTTCTTATAACTTGTGTTGTTTCTTAAAATGACAGCTTTCTTGTAACTTGTGTTG